CTCTCTCTCTCTCTTGCGGATCTGCGGCGACAGCGGCGAGCGTGCGTACAGCGAACTCTGCGTATTTGCGTGTCTTTGCGGGAACAGCGGTTCCATCGTTCAGCGGAACGAACATCGGGCAGCATAGCCTAACCACTTCTCTTCCCCCTTCCTTCCGTGACTACCAATAGTTATGTCGACATCGTCCGACAACGAAACCCGTCGTTTCTACCGACTATCGACCCCTGCTCCCTGCCACCTCATACGGCCCCGGGAGACTCGCAACCTACACACCGAGTCTTCAAGAACGTGCGCTCACACATGGAGAAGGTTACTGTCTTCTTGCCAACATTCCCAAACACAACTTTGATATCCTGTGTCTGCTGGTATGTCTTGATACCATCTCTCGCATTTGCAGCTGACCCAATTGTGTCTGCCATGGCCAGCACTTCTGCTCCCCAACAAGCTTTGATGTGCTTTCTCATGTTGGTTGTTGACTTGGCGTCTTTCAACTTGAGGTACCACCGAACTGTTTGTTTGCACCCAGAATTCGTGCACTGGAAGACATGTACATGCCGGCCGTTCTTGTACTTGATCAAGGGGTTGGGCTGAAAGAAAAGTGTACGCTGGTGCTGTCCAACACTTCTACATGTGTTCTACTGTACTAGGTAGGTCAATCATCCTTCTGGCATCCTCGACAACATCCTCAACAGTCACGGAGCTGCCCTTTGTCGACCTCACATTCTTAGGCTTTGTTGCTGTCATCTTTGCACTTGCAGTGGCTGCCAGTTGGCTTGAACTGCTTGACTCTCCCCTTGGAGTCGCTGTGTGGTCCTTCTGACTCGTGGGGGGAGCCTTACCTGTTGATTCAGGTGGGCTACTCTGTCCCTCGGGGCTCTTAGTTTGTGCATGGTTTGAGTTCATGTACATTGCGCATTGTGTTGGCCACTTCGCCTTTTGCTTTGGCAGCGGCATGTCCGGTGGAGGGTGGTCTGGGCAGGGAGGTTGCTGGGTGATGGACACTGATTGAACTGAAGAATAGCCTTACAAGTTCCTGTGCTTATGCAATCCAATTATTGTATTATCCGGTGCCTGCACTGCTAAGTACTGTGGTGTCTGTGTCAGCCACAGATCCAAATCTGAGTTGGCGGTGAGTGACTGAAGCCTAGCCGCGTGCCGCGCTGATTTCCTTTTACGGGTGCTGGTGGCGGGTTCGCGGGTCCCAATCTGGCCACCCGTACCCCTACCCAGCGGTACCCTGTACCCCTGCAATGCACTAGTTAGTAGCATCACTTGATAGCACAATGCTCTAGCAGTTGTCTTGATTCAATCACACTATGATACTCAGACCTCAACCTTGCCTATGAGTAAGCTTGGACATGTCAATCTCATCTACTGTCTCACATGTGCTGTTCTGCTTACTTACACCCATGCTAGTTTGATTTGCAAGATACTCAATCCACCAGCTGACGCAATGCCTTTAGAATCACTGATGTACCATGGGTATGTGCTATGACCATTTACAGAAAGACAAATGTCATCAGCTCTAGATCTGTATGCAACCTGAACAACTCTATTCCATGTACTTGATGATGTATTGTGGATACCCATTGCACAAGAAACAGATATCTAGGACCCAAACTTTACTGTCCCTGATCCATAGAATCAGTGTATCTAACTCTGATACAGCATACAGCATTATGGCATTGAGAACTTATATCTAATGTTTATTAGTGAAGCAACACTAGACACTACCTGTTGAACCAGCAAGGTTGAATGCTAGGTCAATTACTATTATGACATTCACAGTGGACATAGGAGCTTCTCAGCCTTGAGCATGGACAACAGCCTAATGAAATATCAAAGCCTATATTAGTCCTCAACCTATCAATCTGGAGGTCATTGTAGTTCACACAACTGGATTCCACTCCCTAGTTATGCTGTAAGCACCATGCACTAGAGCTCAACAAGGCAAATCAAATGGTGTAAAAATTGAGGCAATAGGACAAGAATTGAGTGATTCTCTGCAAGTGATCACCAGTGCACAATGTGCAATATTTGGTGCCACAACACAACGTGTGCAAACAACAATGATACAGGACAGGACAGGACAGGACAGGATGGAAAAGGATGGGATGGAACAGGACAGGACAGGACATACTGGCAACTACAGGACCTGGAGAGATCCTTTATAATCCTGTAAGATCTGGTACACACCTGTGAGCCATTGAAGAGCTGTGGAGCATTTCTGTCCAATATTAACATCCGTGATGTCACCATACATGAACAGACAGGACAGGAATTAACATGAGGGGACAGTAAGGGACAGGACATACCAGGTCGGGACAGTGCCAGATGGTACAGGATTCAAACTGTTCCTACAGGATCCTACCAGATCAGGCAAGATCCTGGACAAGCCTATCTTATCTGTCCAGTTTCCGTGATTTCCTGAGCAAACTGGAGTGAGCTCCAGAGATCGGGTAGAATTGGGTAAGATCTTTTGAGTTCTGATGATCTGACACAAGGGGCTTCCAACACTCTAGCGCCTGATATTGACTCCCCCCTCACAGTGGACAAGTCGGCTTTAAAAAAAACCGGAACATTGGTCTTACATAGCAAGGGTCAGTGGTTTTCTAAGCGGCCATGTATGGTTACATAACATGGTGCTTAAATATGGAATGTTGACCACATGTAAGAAATCTTGTACATAGGTATTGAAAGATGTTATGTTTGGCTACAGTACATTGACCACATGTATCCTGCATGTTAGCAACATGTACATTGAGACTAAATTCTGTATGGTCAGATGATGGTAGTCACTCTAGCATTGTCAGCACAGTTATAATGTTAGAATCTCGTGCATTGCAGGAACAAAGGGCACACATTTGAAATTCAATTGCAATGTAAGAGGGGCTGTGCACATTTCAAATGTAATGACAATGTAAGCACAATGTTAGAGGGGCCTTCTTACATTGCAATTACATTCCAAATGTGCGCCCTTTGTTCCTGCAATGCACGAGATTCTAACATTATAACTGTGCTGACAATGCTAGAGTGACTACCATCATCTGACCATACAGAATTTAGTCTCAATGTACATGTTGCTAACATGCAGGATACATGTGGTCAATGTACTGTAGCCAAACATAACATCTTTCAATACCTATGTACAAGATTTCTTACATGTGGTCAACATTCCATATTTAAGCACCATGTTATGTAACCATACATGGCCGCTTAGAAAACTACTGACCCTTGCTATGTAAGACCAATGTTCCAGTCTGGGTGGCTGCACCGAAACTATATGTTCAAAATATATTCAGAGTGCGTGTAGCACGGCATATTCTATTGTTGGCCAGTGTGATTAAGTGCTGTACTTTAGCATAACATTAGAATGACTCACCAGCATCCCTGACTCCTCCCGAAGGGAGGGAGGGCTCTGTCAAGTAGAAATGATATTGCACCGGGGATGCTATGTCACTGTGGGAAATTTCCGTCCATATACAGTACGCACGATACCACTTAGGGAAACTGTCCACATGCAAGCCGTGTGCTTGTGCGGCCAGATCTTCCTCCGGGTTTTTCCGAGCATATATAACATGCCTCCTGCCACTATTATCAAGACATTCACTTCAACACATCTTGTCTTCCCCCCTGAAGCAGCTGCCATTTCCATGTCACAGCAACTAACTAGTATTGCCCCTACTTCCCAACTACCAGATAGGGCCTTGGGCTCAATACCAGTTTTACCAGACAGTGTCTCAGGCCTGCTACCAGTTTTACCAGATGATTCTGCAGACTATATACCAGTCTCATCATCAGACAGCATACCACATACAATTGCAAGTGTCCCTAATTACATAATCCAAGGCATCATGAATAGCAATCCTTCATGGTTCTATTATACTGATGATTATTACCTGCAGCAATTACAATCCCTTACCAGAGCTGAATTATGGGCTGCTGTTTGTACATGTGTTGATCAGACACAAGGTATCAGGCAATCCAAAGCATCTTTGGCTAAGCAACTACTGCAGCATTTCAACTCATCTAAAGTGTTATTGGCAATTATGTCAGATGTTCTCCTGTGCCAAACATGCAACTGCTCTCTGCTGCTCAGTTCACCATTCCATTGTAGATATATAATTTTGAAGCATTACTATATACAATTATATGGCTGCAAAATTCTGAAATGTCTATGCCAATCTCCTATGCTTTCCAGTATAACACATGATGTTGCTCATTCAAGTACAATTCCTGATATAGACCCTCATATTCTCAGCCAACTGAAATTTTGAGACAAGGACATTTTAGATCATTGTTACACCATATTTCAGACTGGCTACATGAAGAGCAAAACAAGAGCAATGCAAATACTGGTTTCCAAGATATTGGCCATTAAGCAATATATCAGTGACTTGAGTATTGCTGAAGTGTACCAACAATACTTCACAGCTGTGACATACAGTGGCAACATGTTATCTAATGTGCCAAAGCCATGCAATATTGTGGAAAGTATCTTTCTTGCATACTATGGTGATGATGTGATAAATGCAATATTCCATAACACACTCCCAGAAATAAGGAAACAGCAGCAAGTTCAGTATCAAAGAGACTATAGAAGGTTGAAAAGACAAGACAAGAGCATACAACGAAAGCAATCATACCTCAGTGAAGAAATGAATTGGCCTACCATACCTAGCACTGAGACTGAGCTACAATGTGCATACAATTATTGGAAAGCAACACAATGGCATTCTCCTCTCATCTGCTCTGTGTGCTCTAACAGTGCCCATAGATTGAAAAAAAAGATCTATGATATGAATCAAATCCCCAACATAGTGCATAACATGTCTGTTTTGCAGGTACATGACCCATGGATTATTCAGAAATGCATTGTACAACAAAATTCCAATGTCTTCTTGTATGGAAATGAATTGGATGGCTTCATGTTGGATAAAAAAGGGCTGCTATGCAGTGATCCTATCAATCACAGAATAGCACTATGTTCAGACTGCTAAACTTCCCTAAAGAAACCAGCTATGCCCAGATCTGCACTGGCAAATAATCTATATAGAGGTCATCTTCCTACTGAATTTTGTGACCTTATATGGGTTGAAGAGATGGCATGTGCTATTTATCATATCACTGCCCATGTAACCCATTTGTATGGATCTTCAGAACCTGAACAGCCAAAGGTTCTTCATGGAAACACCATAATACATGATATGAATGTCATATCAACAACAACAGTGCTTCCTAGAACTCCTGCAGACATCACTGGGTATCTCTGTTGTATTTATTGAACCTCATAAAATCAAAGTCAGTCACCTGGGCAATACATGTAGCTCCATTGGCTGTGTCCTCGGTAATGGCATAAAAGGCCGTTCCCAAGCACGGTCAAGGACATGTATCTTCAATCCACCATCTACTCTTCACCAAAACACACCCTGTGTGCCACTCAAAGTCTTACTTTGCCCCGAGTGCTAAGTTAGCCATACTAGCTGCTCAACCACTCTTGCCGAGTTCTTACCAACGCGCTCTAAGACCTGCAATAGTGAAACCTTACTTAGCACAGTCCTCGCACTACTAGTAAGGTTTAAGTAACTCATTGACTGACTTCACAAGTTGGGTTCAGTAAGAGAAGGTGCTTAGTCATCATCTACTTCTGTAAACTTGTTGTTGCCAACATCAATAGATCTCTGTATCAACTACCATACTAGCACGTCTCAGTGGCATTACTATAATTAAAGTGGTTAGCCTAACCAGCAACTCACTTAATGCTAAAGCAAGCCTTATAGCCATTAGCTGGCTGAGGATTAATTGCATTAGTGAGCCCCGCTTGAAGCACGGCCTTGTGCTGCTACATTAGGGTTTTCTAACTTGCCATCGTCACTGTGCAGTCAAAGCTAGCTGTTCAGACTTCCATTCAACTTCTGTTGTGTGACTTCGAAACCGAAAAAGCCCATTCCTTCGGAATCAACCTCTGGATACTAATCCTCTGTATTCAGATTTCATCCTCTATTCTAAAAAGCTCTAAACCTTGGCAATAATCCCCATTCATTGCCGACTCAAATCCATTCTTAGCTTACTCTTCCCAGTTGAAGAGCAGTACTGCATACTTGTATAGCAGCACTGACTAAAGTCCCACCCTCTTTTGTATTCGTTGTGGATCTGGTATCCTCTTTACAGCTCAACTTTTTGTTGTCTTGGTAATTGCATTGCCGAAGATTACCGAGGATTTTACCGTTTGTTACCGCTTTGTATAGGCAATACAAATCTCTATTACCGAGGTTACTATTCCTATTGACTCGGCAATAAACTCGGTAACTAGCTGTCTATAAACAAAAACAGAACCATAACAACTACTTGAAGTCATTGAGAATCAGTGCACGATGCAGCGTGATGTTGGACATTGAAGTGCCTCCAGAGGTGCTTCGACGATTCGCGTAGGCAGTCATTCGAAGTATGCTACACAAAAATCCCAGAATATCCGGAGGAACGAGCGAGGGCAGAGTTCAATAATTGCATTACTAGCGTTGTTCAGAGTTCGGGTAGGAACGTCAGGCACAGGCTGTGCGTTTGAAGCGATGTCAGCGAAGGGTCCACGATGGAGAACAGATCGAGTTGCGCGAGATAAAAGTCAATTCAGGTCGTGACAGCGTGATCGTAGATGAAGATAAAACACTTGCCCTGTTTGCCGTCGGATCCCCTATCCGCCGCCCCGCCCTCGTCCGCCCCGTCCTCATCCGCCACGCCCTCATCCGCCACGCCCTCATCCGTCACGTCCTCATCCGAGTCCGCCCCTCATCCACCGCCACGCCCTCATCTGCCGCCACGCCCTCATCCGCCCTCATCCGCTGCGACTCGTGAGCAGCGCCTGATGGCAGGTGCGCCGGTTTGCACGTGGTAACTGAGCCGCGCCATAAGCGCGTCGAACATGCAGCTTCTGCACTCGAGTCCCGCGTGCACTCCTCCCTCGCCCGGACAGTGTCCCTCGACACGTCAAGCTTCAAGTCAACATCCGGCCGTCAAGCGTCCTTTCCGCTCACCTCGCAGCCGCCCAGCCCGCACTGACCCGACAAATGAGGATTGCCATGCCCACGCTTGGTGATGCGATCATATTCGACTGAGCTTTGTGAGTCAACTTGAATCTAGCCCTCACACCGTTTGCGTCACCTCCCTCCCACTCGCCAGCTGCACGGTCAGTGCTCACCTGCCTGCACGCATGCTCGCATACCCGCGCGTTTGCACACCGGGCCCGCCCATCACCTGAAGACGTCTAAGACTTGTCGTCGGGCCGGCCGTCGGCATTGTCCCTGTAGCACAATCATGTAATTAACCCACCTGTATGTACATAGTCTGTATTGAGACTCTGCGAATACTCGCCCAAATACCCCTATTCATGTAAACCTGCGAGACCCGTGGATGAGTTGTAACGTGCTGGCATCATGAGCGCGCCCTCGCAGTAAGTTCCCACGGTCTGGGCACTCCAACCGCACAGCCTGCTACTGCAAATCTTGGCCATCTACCAATAATGTCTCGACTCCGGTCTACTCGTGTTAGCTTCCGGCAGCAACTACTGAACTCCACCAATGAGGCATATGGTACCGGTTATCGCAATGCCTTGGATGCATGGGTGCAATATCAGATTGAACAACTGCAATGTATGGCTACCTCATCTCAGCTCAGATCTGTCCAACTAATCTAGTACTTGCTAACAAAGCTGAGGTTGAAGCACTTGCTGATGAACATGAGGAGGAAGGACCAACCGAGATTGACCCTGAGACAGGCATGCCAGTGGACAATGACAATGGTATGTTAATCCATTGATTATCTGCATGAATTATTCAGTCTCACTGTACATATGCCACCTATTCCTCTAGAGCCAAGTGATCTGAGTCCAACTCCACCATCCAGTGACTTTGATGATCCCATGGCTGGATCTGAAGGATCAGAACACAACAGCTCAGACAGATCTTCTGAGGATGATGATGAGATGGAGAATACGAGAAACCTGGTGGACACCTATTTCTTCACTAGTCTTGTCTATATTGTGACTCAGTGGCAAACTCATCTCAACCATATCACACAATCTCGTTACCTGCAATCATTCACCCGCCCACCTCCTCCTCCCACTGACATCATGTCACGACTCCAATACTACCGCAAGTTCAATACCCGTATGTGGCACCACTGGATGCGTATGCCTCCGTATTGCTTTGATGAGATCTTGGAAATGATCAAGGTATGCTTGATTCAATGCTTTGCTACATTGCTGACAATTTTATCAGGACCATGGAATTTTCCACAATAACTCCAACAATTCTCAGACACCTGTAGCACACCAACTTGCAACATTCATTTGTCGTGCAGGACGCTACGGCCCAGGAGCAGCTGTGGAGGAGATTGCAGAATGGGCAGGTGTATCAGTTGGCTCTGTGGAGAACTTCTCAAAGCGCTGCATCATTGCGCTCCTCTCCTTGCACAACCAAGCCATCAACTTCCGCGATGAGGCCGAGATGAACAGTGCAAAGGAATATGTAGAGAAGAAGGTGGAGCGAGTTGGGTGGAAGAATGGGGCTCTAGCCACAGATGGCACCCCTATTGCTTTTTTTTCAAGGCCTGGATGGTATGGTCAAGATTTCTATGGCAAGGACAAGATTTATGCAATGCAGCTCACGGTACATTTGCGTTTGATACACATTCACTCTCACTGACTTTGATTGTCAGCTCATCATCTATGTCCACAACCTTCTCATTGCCGATTATGCTGTCAGGCGTACGGGGAGTACCCATGACTCCTCTGCCTTCAAGGATACCCGCATGTTCAAGGAGCATGAAGAGCTCTTGAAGGAATATGAGTGGATCTGGGCCGATTCTGCATACACATTATCCCACTGGCTCATCACACCTTTCAAGAAACCACCCAACGGAGAGCTCACTCCAGAGCAGAAGACATTCAATTACTACCTCTCTAAAATATGGGTAGCAGTTGAGCATGCCATTGGCTTGCTCAAGATGCGATGGCAGTCTCTTAAGGAGTTGCGGATCCACATTACTGACAGGGACCAATGGGCTTATGCAGTGATGTGGATTTGTACCTGCCTTATCCTTCATAACCTTGTCATCAGGATTGAGCTTGTTCATGGCCTAGATCTTGCTCAAGAGGCAACCTGGACCCAGACCATGAACAATCTCAATGTTCCTAGTTATGCCCATCCATGGGCAAACCCCAATGATGAGGCAGAGGTTCAGCTGGGTAGTGATGAGCTTGAAGGAACAGTAGAGGGAAGGGAGAGGAGGCAGCATTTGATGGAGGAGATTTTGGCCCAGCCTGTACAGACCTAGGTTCTCAAGCTTCATGTCTATAATGGACTCAGACATCCTCACATTTGCATTGATACTCAGTGATACAAGTACATTGTGTACAGAACAGCGGAAGAGCTATGGAGTATGGAAGAGCTATTACATATGAGGCTGAAAGCTCGTTCCATTGTTTGCCGGGTCAGCAGGATACACAGAGTCAGGTCCATCATGAAACGAGTCCACATAGGTATCAAAGTTGAAGACATCAAACATTGTACCAGGCAAGTCAAACCCGTCACCACTGTATGCAGGGTCAACGCCGCCGTGAGGGATGTTGACGCCGTCGTGAGGGACATCGCCGCCACCATGAGGGACATCGCCGCCACTGTGAGGGACATCGCTGCCGCTGTGAGGGATCATCAGGAAAAACACTTCTAACTTCAGCAGTCTTGAATGAAGAGCACCTAATCTTATTCAATCTTTCATAACTTGTGTTCCTCAATTAAGTGCACTATGTGCATGAAGACCGCTGAAGTGAACTATAGCACCTTTGAGAAATTTGTCTTGTCCCCAAGTTGGAGGATATGCAACTTCAGTACTACAGATTAAGATGCATAAGTACACATTAGTTGGCAAATGACCTCTTAACTAATAAATATGCATGATGAGATGTCAGATTGCTCAATGTGGTCAAAGTCATATTGTCAAGGATTTGGACATATTTGGCCTGTTAAGGGTGAAAGACAGAAAAAGAACATTTAAGCATACAAAGTGAGACAAGAAGCCTGGCCTTGAGCAAATTGTAAGTCTACACAAGGTCTGCAAGGCAACAGATAGTGCCAAGAAGAAATGAGGCCAGTCTGAGAGCCCAGGGATGCACAGGGGCTGGGCTAACAGGGGGCAGCAATTGCAGATTTCTCTAAGTCCAGAAAGATAGTCAATATAGGTTATTGTGCAAGGGCACAAGCACAGGGACCTATGGTGTAGTGGTCAGAAG